GATAGGGCAACATTTGCCTCCCGCTGATATGCTTTGGTCTCTCAGTGTCCCCCAGGGCCAAACCCGGCCCTCCCCAACCCCCTCCGCCCACCTCACCCACTTCCCCCCACACCCCCCCCCACGTGAGCTGCAGGGTCCCCGTCTTCTCCACGGGGTCCAAGCTCGCAGTGTCCACACCGCAGGCTGCCGCTGGAGTTCATGGAGTTCCTTTAAGGCGCCTTGATTCTGCTCCATTATTTATTCATAACGCTGCAAAAGCCCTTGGGCCAGAAAGCACTTGAGAGAGAAGGCAGGCTTGGAACTCAGAGCAAACAGAGGCCAGCAGGGAGCCTGAGCATCACAGCGCACCCGCCCTTGCTCCTCCACCGCCCCCAGCCTTCTCCCCGGAGCCCTGGAAGCACAGGCCTGAGGAGGAGCCCGGGAGGAGCCCGCCCGCGCCAGCCAGCCCGGTGCTCCCAGCAGGAGCCCTCTCAGCACCCAAGGGTTGGAACGCCCACCCCTGGCTCCCCTCCCAGCAAGGCCCCAAGCCAGCATGGGGCCTCGGGTGGCTGGGCGACAGTCTCCTCTTCCACTGCAGCCCCTGACCAGTTCCTACAGATTCTGTCCCAGAGGGGCCTTGCCTTTGCACCAGGGTACTTGTTATCCTGGGACAATGGGAACACACCCCAATTCAGACCAGGGGAGTGAGGGAGGTGGCCCCAGAGGAGGGAACAGGACAGCTGGCCTGGAGACAGTGCTGCCCGGCATGTTCAGAAGCATAGAGAGGTTATTTCAGGCCGTGGAAGGAACGGGGTGGAACCATCGCCACACAGAAGAGTCTGGAGGGTGTGGGGACAGCAGAGTCACAGAGGCAGGGTGGTGCGGTGGCCCAAACCACGGGCCCTCCAGCCACGCCCGCTGGCCGCCTGGTCCTGGCCCTGCCGTTTTGCAGCTGTGTGCGCTTGGGCCAGTTGCAGAGCCTCTCTGTACTTCAGTGTCCTATCTAGGAAACAGGGTAACGGTAGTGCCCACCTCATTAGGCTTTTGTGAAGATTATGTGGTTTAATAGACAGAAGCACTTAGGGCTGCATGGCATATCGTGAACACCCAGTAAGTGTTAGCGGCTGTTGGCTGCTGTGTAGGGCGCCCGGAGCAGCGAGGCTGGCAGGGAGACAAGGGCCACAGCCTGAAGAGGCTGGACTGCCACTCCGTTCCGGGGAGGGGCGGAAGGAAGGAGCCCGGCGCCCTGTCTCCGATCCACTTTTCATCGGGTTGTATACATTTGGGCTTCTGGACGGTATTACATTTGAAGAAGAGGTTTCCCAAGCACAAAGGAGGTGTGGAATGGAGCCCCCGAAGGATCCTGAGCAGAACAGCAGAACAGCCCCTGGCTGCAGCGGGGAGGGGAGGTGGGACAGGCCAGCAGAGGAGAGTTAGGGAGCGGGAGGTGCAGGCAGGAGACAAGTCATCAGAGCGAAGGTAGTGCCGAGGGGAGGGAAAGAGGGGGACTCGGAGTCTGGGGACATTTCGAAGGCAGAACAGTGTGGAGGCTGCAGGAGGGAGAGCAGTCGGGAGCCTTGTGGAGTCCACCCGCTCTTCCCGGCCATCCACTCCCCACACCCCTGCTGAGGGCTCCAGACTGCCCTGCTTTCACAGGGAATAAAATCCAAACCCCTCGGAGGTGGCGCTACCTCCCTGGAGCCCCCTCCCCAGCCCCGTGCCCTTCCCCGTGCGCTCTGGCTCTGCTCGGCAGCCACCTCTCAGGCCTCCAGGCACGTGCTGGACCCATGGTGTCTTCCACTAAGTCCCTGGTTCCCTTGCTGCCCTCGGATGCTCTCTTGCTCAGTTTATTTTTGCCTCCCTCCCCTGGAATACAAGCTCTGGGAGGGCTGGGACTTGGTCTGTCTTATTACTACTGTTTCCCCATGTTTATGAACATTTAGTAGGTGGATAACGAATGAATGACACACTCCCAAGGATGGGCTGTGAGGCAGAGGAGGCTGGGCCCTGCCTCATCTGGGCTGCGGGGTGGGAGGAGGCGGGGGGGGTGCACCTCTCATCCCCTCCCTGTGTACCTTTACGTGCCCACGGAGCCCTTCCTTGTTTTTCTCCTCTGGCAAACCTCTTCCACCCACCTTGCTAGGTCCTATAGACTCCCACCTGCCCTGGGAAGCGTTCCCTGCGCCCCCTGGCAGAGGTCGTTATGCCTTCTGCTCTCCCACGTCTCGCTCACGCCTCTCATAGCACTGATCAAACCAGACGGTATTACTTACCTGCCCCTCTCCCTACCCTGTCCCTGCCCCAAGACCAGGAGCTCTTTACTACAGTACTTAGCAGTAATAACTGTAATATCAGTGGATCCTTACTGGGCACCTACTGTGCTTAGCGCTTTGCACAGATTACTCTTTTTAACCTTAGTGACAGCCCCAAGAGGCAGGTACGGTCGTTAGTCCCATGCTGCAGATTAGGAAGCCGAGGCTGTGACAAGCTAAGTCGCACTGCTCACAGCCGGCCCCAGAGCTGCCTGACCCCGAATCCACATTCTCAGCCATTCCCGGACTCCCTACCCCTTCAGCTAGTGTTTACTGAGCACTTACTATGCATCAGGAAGTGGGCCGGGCATGAGAGGTATAACCAGCCCCTGTCCCTGAGCTCAGAGCCCACAGCCTAGAGAGAACACGGTGTTTAATCCCCACAATCAACGTAAAAGTTCTGGTCAAGGTATAAGCTACGAAGAGGAGGGCGCGGTGCTGTGTGGGCAGACCCCACAGGAGCTGGTCCAGCCGCAGTGTCCAGCCTCCACGTCCGACACATCTCTACCCCTGGCTCCAAGCCCCAGGCCTATGTGGAGCATTGCTTGCTGGATGCTGCTTTACCCAAGTTGGCTTCCACCCCGTCTCTCTCCCAGGCCCACCCGCCCTGGGGTAACTCAGCACTTCCTGCCCAGTGCCTCAGAGATCCCCTTAGGTCTCCTGTGGCTTTTCTGGAAGTATAACGGATGCTTCTCTGCTGATGATGAGAGATTCAGACAAGCCGCTTAATGATTTAGAGACTAGAAGTGTTCTCTGAGATGGGGAAGCGTCTTCTCACTTCTCTCAGCCTGGATTCCCAAGACAGACCTGGAGGCATTGACGCCACTCATTGCCTATTGGGAGAAAGCAAGCTGGTCCCGGGGAAGAACAAAACATCTGGGGGCCGTGGGGGCTGGAGGGATGAGAGAGCATTTGGATTTCAAAACCAAATTGCTGCTGGGCTGGAGGCACCAGCCAGACAGGCATCCTTGCACCATCTCCATTGGTGGTGGCTGCCGATAGACTTTCCACGTTGAGTCTTTGCTTTTATGACTTGGCAGGGACCTTAAGGATAGAACATCTAGTACAACTCCCTCATTTTACCGACTGATGCGCAGAGATGTGAAATGACGTGCCCAAGGTCTCGGAGCTAGTTGGCAGCAGAGGGACCAAAGCCTCTGCGGTTCCCTGCTCTTTCCTAGGCAGCCCACCAACGGGAATTTGGTTTTTGTAGGGTGACATGAGCCCTTGAAGGAGAGAGAAGCACCGTAATGAGCTCTTGCAGATGGGCTGCCAGGGAGCCGGTGAGAGCGATGCTGTGTCTTTAAGAATCTGGCTGCCCAGACGCCTGGGCGCTGCAGCCAGGAGAAAGCGCTCTGATTATGGGCTGCAACGTCAGGGGGACAGGTTGCACTTTAAGCACTGACCTCTCCAGGAGCCAGCACCTGGCTCTTCCCCCGCCCCCACTGCAGGCTCACCCCCTCCAAGCAGTAGCCAAGACTCCGGTCAGGGTTGCTGGGCTCAGATCTCCCCAGCAGCCCCTCGGTCAGGAGTCCAGAGGACCACATGAGGCTCTGCCGCTTTCTGGGCAGCAGTGACCGCTCCAGCAGTGGGCAGCTCATTACCAGCCAGGCGCCCTCAGGCAGTCTCCCCTGACAGTGGGCAGAGAGGAAAGCAGTAACAGGCTGGGTATGCGGCAGCCCCTGGTCACTCCTGGTTTTATTAAAGCCAAAGTCTCAAGCATCCCTAATGAGGATAAAAGGCCAGGAAGGCGCACAGCCTGGGCCCCAAGCCTCCTGGGAAGCAAGAGCTGGGCAGAGGGAGGACCTGGCAAGGCCACCATGGGGACCGGCTCTCCAGAGCGGTGTGGCCACCAGGAGAGGCCGACTCTCTGTTTCCTTAGCCCCCTTCCATTTACTCAAAATCAATGTGTTTGTTTTCCTTTATCAAATAACCCCGTCAGCCCTCTGCTGCCTGAGTGTGCAGTGCGGGGGACAGTGTCCGCCTTGACCCACGGAGCCAAGAGCAGCCAACGTGCCATCAGGCTGGGTGAAGCCCAGCCACAAACAGCAGAGGGTTCTGGGGCCGGGCCTTGGGCCCCTATTGCTCTCTGCCTCCAGGTCACCCATCTGGGCCCCACGATGGAGTGTGGAGTTGACTGTTGCAGAGGACGGGGTGGAGGGGGCTCCACACCACAATGCCACTCAGCACCCAGCGTGCCCCTCGGCTTTTACAGTCCTACCGAGAAAGGGCGCCCTACAGAAAAGAGGGGCCTCCTTGGTCGGTGCTCTCCGTGGAGGGAGCCAGCCTGAGAGCAGCCCCTAGAGCCCAGGGGATTCTCTTTACCCTGAGGTACCCCAACCTCCGCAAGCAGGTCCCCCACGTCCATAAACACATTGGCTCGGACTCCCCCAACGGGACAGGCTGGGAAAGCTCCACGCTGTGTCTGGAGGGGGACGTGGTGGGGAAGCCGAGACAGCAGCTTTCGGTGGCTCCTCTCAGAGGGGCCATGGGAGCTTCCAGATCCCTCCCCCGGGCCCTGACCTGATCGTAACACTGATACTGAGAGCCTCTCCTTCAAGGGTTCTTCTGGCTGAAAGGTAACCGCCACATCTACGGGCATTTGTGCCGCTCCTCTTCTGCTGCTGGGCACCTCTGGCCACATGGCCCCGCAGCAGCTGCTCAGGGAGCTGTGACCGCTCACCTGACCTCTTGTCTGCTTCCTTGCAGGAGAGCGTGGATTTGGGAGAGATCATGTTCTCCCTCTGTTACCTGCCCACGGCCGGCAGGCTCACCCTCACGGTGATCAAGTGCCGGAACCTCAAGGCGATGGACATCACTGGCTACTCAGGTACCTCCCCCGCCCGGTGGCCTGCCTGTAGGCTCGCAGCAGCCCGGACACTAGGGTTGGGAAAGAGAAGGGGGAAGAACTGTCCGCTTCCTTAGAAAAGGAGCCATAGTTCTGGAGGAAAACTGCCTGGATCCAAATTCCCATTCTGCCGCTTCCTTGCACAGTAATGCTTTGGTTTCCTAATCTGAAAACACAACTTCCAAGATTGCTTTAAGCTTAAATGAGTTAACTCACGTAAATGCTTAGAATTGTGCCAGACACTGAGCACTCAGCAGACATTAGCCATTACCACCATTCCTTCTCTTAGAGAAGGGTGAGGATAGGAAGTAAATGTGTAGGAGAAATCATTGAGGAAAACCTTTCTAGTTCATTCGAGGCCCCAGGACTGCCCAGGGTTAAGCCAACTTAGAGAGTGTAACTGTCTGTGGGTCGCAAGGCCTACGGCAGCCCTGCAGACCCTCAGCGGAGCAAAGCCACTGGAAAGCGAACTGCATCTGTAGTTGAGTTTTTCCTGCAGGGCTCCCGGCCTCAGCCTTAGCACCGGGACACTGCCAGGAACTGCAAGGGGAAAAAACAGTAAGTCCTATTCTGGCCACTGAGGAATCGCCCATTTGGGGGCAGCTGCAGAGACTGCAGGCTGGACGTGGTGGCAGAGGTTCGCTTCTTTGCAATGATTCTTTCTGCGAGTCGCTGTCAGAGGTGTTGGGGCTTTGGTGTCACAAACAGCAGCTTGGGTCCCAGGGGGTCTTCACCTCCACTCTCGGCTCAAATTGGCCCTAGAAGTGAAACGGGGTGAAGCCTCCCAAAGAGCAGGCACGTGACAGGGTGGCTGCACACACAGGGTGCACCTGGGCCCTGCCCCAGAGGCTCCTCTGTGCTGCGCCCGCCCGAGGTGCCTTTGAACGTGGATGGGAGAGGAGGGACTATCACAGTTGACAAAGGGCCGGCCCAACTGACAACTTCTGAGCCCAGGTGCCACTGGAAGAAGAGGAGCACAAGGCCTTGAAAAACGAGGTCTCAGGGAAATGCTGAAGTACTTACTGTGTTGCAGCTTTGAGTTGCTGGGAGCTTCTTCTCCTAGGCGGCCCCCAGCCCCCAGCCCCCACCCCTGCTGCGCTCCGGCCTCCAGGCCAAGAGCTCCCCTGGATAGCGCCACGCCCCGTGCCGCCCCCCCTCCCCTGCGCAATGCCTCTCCTTCCACTGAAGCGACAGCCACTCATCATGGGGAAGAGCTTAAAGAGCCTTTTCCAACAGTCAGCTTCCTCCAAAAATACAGCCACTGTAGATTTCATTTTAATATCAAAATAAGTGCTTGCCAGGGACAGAAATTCACTGAGGACTCTCCAGGCTGCTGAGGGAAATGGGATTTTGCTGCCCGAGTCCCCACACTGTCTTCGCTGGTATAATTAAATCGATGTGCTAGAGAGGGGACCTTGAGGTAAGTGTCAAGGCTGTTCCCCCTCAGAGTTGGCGACCAGAGATTTTTCTCACACTAAGTCCTAACTTCCCTCTTGCAATTGCTCCTCTTTTCTACCTGCGTTTGGAATCTGGTGTTAAATCCCAGCTTGATTCTGAAAATTCAGGGGTCTTCTCATTGTCAAGGGTTTCTGCCTGTTTTGTTCACTGATATAATCAAGTGTCTGGAACAGTGCATAGACCACAATAAGCATTGGATAAATATGTGTTGAATGAATGAATGAAAATGAATGTATAGCTTGAGGGACTTGGTCAGGCGGTGGTGCAGTGGGGGCACATATGCCGAGGGCCCCTCAAACCACATCTCCTGCTTCTGAGGACGAGATGGAGGTTACCTTCAGCCTAGACTGCGCTGATGTTGGACTAAACAAGGGAACGAATAGAGCTCATTCATTGTCTCTTCTTGATTTACACGGTGTTGACTTCTAAAACCAAGGATCTTCCTATTCTCCTTGATCAAAACTGGTCATGAATCAATTCCCTAAGCCTGTCTACTGGAACCATGACCATAACACAAAATAATAAACAGTATGCCCCGGAGGGGTGGTGAGCGAGTAAACTCCCCCACTTCTGCCACAGCTGGCCGGTACTAGTTTGCGTCCAGTGGTTAAGAATGTGAGCTTTGGAGTCAGCCAGGCTAGGGCGCAGACCTCAGGCAAGTTTCTTTGTCTCTAAATCTCAATTTCCCCACCTGTGAATCGGGGAGTCAGGGAGCGGCTGCTTGGCTCCAACCCCTGACAGATTCACAGGAGCCCTGGCTTCTGGGCAAGAAGGTGTCTCAGCACATCAGCCTCTCGAAAGCTGCTATTAGCTGCGCGTCGCCCTCCCGCTTCGTGAGCTGTGCGGCGTAAATAACCATTACGAGGGTGACCGGGACACCTGTGCTGGGATAACAATGGGCGTCACTTCACTTGGATGAATAGAAAATTTCAGGGTAGAAAGATGACCATGAAAACCCCATTCGGAAAACTAAAGAGGCGAAGAGGGAGGTCTGTGGCTGTTTGTTAAAAGGACGTCTTCTCACGGGATGGAGAGAATGAGTCCCAGATCCCACCGGGACAGGAAGGTCAGGAGGCCGCCTCCCGCGGCCACAGCTCGCTCCTCCTGCGCTGCCCAGGAGGGGGCAGGAAATGGCTTGGGGGGAGCAGAGAGCCCGTTACTGCCCCCCTGCTCCGCGCCAGAGGGAAATGAGCTTCTTGGGACAATGAGACCCATAATCCTTTTGTCAGGTGGGGAGGACACGGACAATATTGTGATTGTCGCTGTTCATTTACTCCGGGGCGTTGCTTCTCCCTGGGTGTCATCGAGTTCTGTTTTTGCCCCCCTTATTCTTTGGTTAGTAATGCTGACAAAACCCCCCAGAGGAAAGGACTCCGTGGAGGTGAGAGGAATCGAGGGCTTCGTTCAGCTTCAGCAGCCTCTGGAGCCAGCGGCCATGATGGAGCCGAGATTTAGGTCAGACACTGCAAACCCACGGGCAGGTGTCCTGCCTGATTTGGGGGCCAGCCTCCCCATTAGTGCAAGTCCATTAGTCACTCTCCCAAGAACCCTGAGGTTTATTAAACACCAGTGTCCTCAGAGACAGGTGTGCTACATAAATTACCAGGTGGTTTCATTGTTTTAACAACCCATCAATAACATCTGATGAGCAGCAGTTGGTGCGGGGCTTCTGTCCCTCCGCTGCAGGTGGCGTTGGGGGACATCTGTTTAACACGCTCCCTTCCCTTCCCTCCATGCCCATCGGCACAGATCCATACGTCAAGGTGTCCCTGCTCTGTGACGGGCGGCGACTGAAGAAGAAGAAAACCACCATAAAGAAGAACACGCTCAATCCTGTCTACAATGAGGCCATCATCTTTGACATTCCACCAGAGAACATGGACCAAGTCAGCCTGCTCATCTCAGTGATGGATTACGATCGGTAGGTACGGGCCCCAGAGGGACCCAATTCCCTGCCCCTCACCCCCACCCCGATGCGGTGCAGGGCTCCTTGACCTTGGACCTGTGGTTCACAGCTGAGGTGCCCACTGGCCAAGAAGAATCTGAGGAAAGAGCCTGAAGCAGAAAGTAAGGCTTCACTTCCCAGCTGCTCCATTTCCATCCATTTCCCTGAATTCAGCCCTGACTCTTCCCGTCCCTCTACCTGGCACCACGTCCTGTCGTTTGTCCTTCAAAAGGCCGCTCTGTCCTCTCCACTCCTGCCGCCGCAACCGCTCCCGCTCGGGGATGGCTGGGCAGCCCCCGCCGCTCCCCGCCGCCCTCCAGCCAACACGCGAAAGGCCTGCCTTCCTAGGGGGAGGCCGCCTTCTTTCTGGACCCGCCCTTCCCAAGGCCCATCCCTGGCCCCTGCTGTCCAGCCTCTTCCCTGGGCCTCTCAAGGCCCTCCGTCGTCCGGACCCAGCATGTCCATCCTTGACGTCTCCTTTATCAGAGACGTTGCTTCTCTTCCACTTATCCAAGCCCCGCCCCTGCACCCAGACCGGCTCAAAAATATTTTCCCACCGCTGCAGCTACTAGGACTCCTCTCTCCATTTGTCACCTCAGCTGAGGGAGAGGGAGCCATGCAGTAAAAGCCTCGATCCAGGATTTTTAGTGCCAGTTCTTGGGCATAGTAGGTGCTCGGTGAACATGTGTGAGTGAGGATCAGTGTTCTTGCTGAGTGAGTAAGTCACACCCCAGCCGCTGGGGGTGTGGGAGAAGGGTGTTCGGAGCGGGTTGATTTACTTCCAGATGCTGACATCTCAAGCGTGGGTGTGACATGAAGCCGAGTCAAGCAAGAGAAGAGACTTAAACTCTCCAACTCCCCCAAGTCCGGCCATCTGCCCACCATTTCCTGAGACTCCCAACGAGTTTATAACCTTTTGCCCGCCTCTCTGTGTCCAGTGTCCCCCCAAGGAGGCCGGGCAAAGCATCGCAGATGCTGGCACCCTGCGGCCCTGCCAGGTGTCTCTTTCCAGAGCTCACAGTTCTGAGTCAGGCCCCCGCTTTCCGAGAGCACGTCTGGTCCCCAATGCCACGCCCTTTGTCTCTCCCTCAGAGTGGGCCATAATGAGATCATCGGAGTGTGTCGGGTGGGCATCAGCGCCGAAGGCCTGGGCAGGGACCACTGGAACGAGATGCTGGCGTACCCGCGGAAACCCATTGCACACTGGCACTCCTTGGTGGAGGTAAAGAAATCCTTCAAAGAGGTGGGTGAGGTCGTGCTTGGCCCTTGGCACGCTTGCTGCATGGCGGCGCGCTGGAGAATGGCCGTCGGCTGCTTCGGGGCCTTGCCTTCGTGGGTCCTGCCGGGGGGGCACGGGGGCCACGTGCTTCCCCGCCAGTGTAACCAGCAGGGAGGAAAAGGCGGAAGGCCGCGGGTCACTGCCTGACAAAGAGTTTCTGAGGTGGAGCAAACTGAAAGCAACACTAAGTTCTGCGTGGAAAATAAAGAACTTGGAGGTGGCCTTCCCGGCAGCCCCAAATGCTTTCACCAAGCTCCTGGGCCAACTCGGCCCTCGAGGAGCAAGCCCCAGGGGGGTGAGATCAGAGCTTGGCAAGACGTCCTACCCTGCTGGAGCAGTGAGATCCCCGAGACCTCGGCCCGGCAGCCTGGGGCAGGTTTCACTGCGCAGAGGGCAGAGCCCGCTCCAATGAGCGCTGGTTCTCGCAAGCCTCGCTTTCAGGTGTCGCGCTCTCTGGCTGGGCGCCAGCGGAGACTCGGTGGAGGGGGCGCTGCCCCAGGAGCTCTTGACACTCAGGCTTCAATCTTGGGCCTTCCTCACTCGGTGCATTACCCTGAGTCAATCTTTTCTCTTTCAACTGCAAGAAAAATGTTCCTTCTGGTGCCACTTACGCTCCACCCTGCCTCCACCCGAAGCCACCAATTTCAGATCCCGTGATTTATCATCTCAGTGGTTCCCAGGACGGGGATGGCCAGGCATGCTGGAAGCTTCGTCCTGACTAGCTCACACCGTGATCCATATCCTAGGAAGCCAGGTGATCATTGACTCATCATAATGGGCTCCAAGCCCAGGAAGTCTAGAGAACAGTATAAAATTGGAAATTCTGCTAATAAAAAAAATAAAGCTTGATCCTTCCCACCACATGGTCCCTCGGCTTAAAAGCAGAGTCACCTAAAAACAGAGTCATCTCCTCCCTCCACTCCGTGACACAGAAAGGGTCGTAGGCAGCAAACTCAGGGGACCTGCCGGCTCCCCCTCCCTCTCTGGGCGGACAAGCCCCTTTCCGCCTGCTTCCAGCGGGCAGGTGTCTCCAGAGAGCGAGGCGACTGGGTGGGTGGGATCCATCCTGTGAGATCTGCCCGATGAATTTAACTCCCCAGATAGACATGTGCCTTGTGGAGCTTCTGCCCTGCAGCCTCCCAGGTCCCCGAGGAGCAATGAGGCATAGACTCAAAGTTCCTGTCTGTGTGAGGCCTCACGGTGTCTTGTGGTGGCCTTGGTTTTACCACAGCTGTGGAGCTTCAATGAGTTGAGGCCAGTCCTTCAGCTATCTGGCTCCCCGCCCCCAGGGAAGCCTCTGCCCCTTCTTTTCCAGAAGGTTCTCTCTGGAGAGTGTGGGTGAGGTACCATGACTAGCCTCCACCAACGCAGAAGGCAGCTACTGAGGACCCCAGACAACTCAGAGACAGCATCTGGCACCTCACTGGTGCCATGCCCCTCCTGCTTTAAAAATCCTCTGGCGAGATTTAAGACTAGGGTACAGTAAAATGTTCCGATGGTTTAGGGGCGGGGCATGGAATTGCCGCTAAGGGGCCTCCCATGGGCTGCGGGGCTCAGGCATCTCACTGTTCTCACTTTGGTCTTCAGTTTCCTGGCTGGTAAATGAGGGCTCGGCTCCTCCAGGTCTGCTTTCCTAGGCAACTCTGACCCCAAATGACAACTGGGTAGAGGAGTGGCACCTTGCGGCCCCTTCCAAGCCTCGTGTCTGCAATAACCCACCACTGTCACCGGGCTGGGCTGCCCATGCCACTGGAACTAACCGGCCGGGCTGGGGCCGGGGTGGGTGCAGGGCAGCACGGAGGTGGTACGGCCCGGAAGCGCTCTTCCTGGAGATGAATGCAACCTAATTAAGCCAAATAATTGATTCCAAATCCTGTCTTTAGCGACTCCAACTCACTCATTCAGAGTACAAAAGAAAGAAAGATAAAATAGAATCAAGGCCTTGAAAATGAATATTTGATGAGACAGTAAAGGGAAAGTAACAGTATATGGAAAACGAAAAGAGAATAAATTGATTTATATCCTTTGGGTTTTACTTTTTTCTTGACCTTGCACATCAAGCTCCTGAGACCGCCCCCTCCCCTAACTCAACTGATCAGTTCTCTGTATGAAGAAGCTGAAAATGACATTCATCTTGGAGCCTTAGGATTTCATCGGTACAAATTTGTATAAAATTTGTATCTACACCTTTATCACCACAGTTTAAGGGTTGTTATAAATATGCATCGGAAAACCCACCAGACTAATATTAAGAAAACATTCTTTGAGGTCATGCGATGCATTGCGCTTGAACGTTTTATCTCAGTCGCCCTTAGAGCTCACTTCCCTCCTTCTTCTCGGTCCCATTCTTCTTCTGGACCCTGAGCAAGCGTCTTGCTCCTGGAACTTGTTTCTCCCATTTGTATAATACATGAAGAAATCTTACTCTCCAGCTCCCGGGAAGATAAATGGCATCGTGTCTGTAAAGCACTCTATATTGTACCTTTCTTAGAGGAGTTTCCAGTGCTGTGATCATTTCTTTTTTATTAACGAGAAGAGAGGGCACCATCCTTGCTTGCTTGTTTGAGGTTTTCAAATAAGGTTGAGGGGAACAAATTAACTGAAAGTTATTTTTTCCCTTCTGGGGTTTTTTCCATGAATACAAATTGACTAAGCCACAGCCAGCGTCTCTCCCTGGCAGTGGCAGCGCCCCTTTCCTCTCTGCGTGTCATCGCTGTCACCACACACAGAGCCCAGGTTGGCCGGCGACCTTCTCCAAGGCGTTTGATTTTGAAGGGCCACGTTCAGCTCACCTGCGGGAGATCTGAGACCTCTGTTGGAGCGTGGCCCGTTTCAGAACAATACCAGGTCTTCCTGGAACGCAGCCACCCTGGAACGGTCACCTTCCTGCATGCGGGGACCAGGTGTCTGCTTGTTCACGGCCACCATGACAAGCCTCCTGGAATCATTTACCTGTCCATTGTCCATGAACCCCATCTCCTCCCTTTGCTAATCATCACAGGAAAAGTCAGGGGCTGGCAGCGGAGCCAGCACGCCTTCTTCATTTGTCCTCGATAAACAATTACGCTCCACGTGCCTTCTCTTTGGGCTGTTACATAAAGAAAAACAGGTACTCTGTGTAGCCATTTGGGTTTTCCCCCTCTGATCTGACCTATCAATCAGGTTGTTTAGGTGGCCTGGGAATCTAAGGGCAAAGCTGGTAATTACAGTGTACCTTCTCCCAACATGAACGATAATAAGAGAGAAAGTAGAACTTCTAAAATGAAGACCAGTTAAATGAAGACCCTCGTAATCATCTTATATCATCTTCTGGTTAAAAAACACTTGAGTCACAAGTCACAATGGGCTCAGCAACCAGACGTTTATTTATGTAAAATATTTCACCAGGGAACCCCTCGGTTGTGATTGCATTCATGCGGAGGCTGCGAGCAGAGAGACTGCCACCCGGAGTTAGGAGTAAGTACCTGGTGCGGACCCAACGAGGTTTAGGCGTCTTATTACGTTTCCCGTCCCCTTCTCCCCCTGGTGTGGCGGATGCCCAGATGGCAGCCGGGTGGCGTGGAAGGAGCACTGAGCTGGGAATTAGGAGACCTGGCTTTGGATCCCGGCTCTGCCCCAAGCTAGACGTGTCTTGACTTCTCTGTGTCTTTGTTTTCTTGTCCTCAAGAACAAGAGTTAGACTGGAGTATCTCCCAGGCCTGCATCCGGGTCTGGTGTGCTCAGATTACACCGCTCTGGGTGACCGCATGGTGGTGGTCGACCCCCGGCTGTCCAGCCTTGGGTTGGTCGTAAAGCTGCAGGTTGGCCCAGACAGGAAGTACTAAGGGGCCATGAGAGCTGAGCCTGGTGAAGGCCAGCAGAGGCTTTCCTTACAGCGGGGAGTGTGAGGGCGCTCGGCAGGCAGCGTCTCTCCTCAGAGCGTCCATGGGTTTCCCGTATTCTCCGGAGGAGATGCCTGATGGCAGATGGTCCTTTGCTTCGGTGGCTCGGCTTTGTCTAGAAAGGACTGTGTAGAGGGGGGCACTGTGTCCTTCCCCATCCGACCCCCACACATGCACCAATGCGTAGGCAGCCTCCACTCGGCCCCATCACTCCACGGTGGAGACGCCTGAAGCTCACGGGGAGCACAGGGGCTGCCCTGCAGTGTCTGAAAAGCCATCTGCGCCTCTCCCTGACCTCTCTCTGGGGCCCTGTCCTGCGGGCACCTAGCAGAGCACTGTTCTCCTCAGCTGACCTAAAGGCTGAAGGCTGGGCCGTCTCACGTTGGGGTCAGACAGGTCAAGAACATTCACAGGATCAGCTCCTTGCCCAGGAAACATTGCTCTGGCCATAACAGGCTGGCTTTTCGATTTAAACAAGGGTTGAATGGCTCAAGCGCGGGTCCATCTGCCCTCAGCCCTCTCCTGTCACCCCATTGGGCCTCATTAATCACGCATGGTCGGGCTGGAGGCGGCAGCGGGGGGGGGGGGGGGTGCCGCCCTCTCCACCTCCCACCCCCTCGCCGGCCGAGTGTGGATGCCCCTAGGAAGCATTAAGACTGAAGAACGCCCCGGGCTACAGCGGTATCAGGTTTTTAGCTGTACTAACAGCTCCCAGACAAACCGCTAATAATTCACGACTGGGTTCTCGGCAGTGAGGGCGCACTCTGCAGACGGCCTCTTTCGCTGCTAACGTGATCCGATCTCCAGTGTGAGAGGGGGCCGGAGCGCTCAGAAATGGCCCAGTCATTGCGCCTCATTCTCTCTCTCTCTCTCTCTTTCTTTCTCTCTCTCTCTCTCTCTCTCACACACACACACACACCCCACCGCCCCCCGCCCCAAGAAAGCTTCCATTATCTCTGCAGTAGGTCTTTCTTTAAAATCAAGTATTCCCAATTAGAAGCCCTGAAGCCGTTGCCATTTTTTGTTCTGTTTTGTTTTGTTTTTTGCATGGCTGCCAGCAAAATTCAAGTAAGCTTACACAGGTGAATTCCGTGCATGGGCCAGGCGAGTGCTGGAGGCTGAACTGCCGAGCCCCTTGGCAGTCACTAACCGCTGCTCCTCTCCCCGCAGTGGCAGGGTCGCGCCGCCAGCTTCGACAGCGAGAGCACGTGTCCCTCTCCGAAGCCACCTCCGACACCATGAGCTGCACGGCTGAGCGACGCAGACGGGACTCGGCCCCGTCCTTTTGCACCTGTCCAATCGCCTAAACACAGCGCTGCTCAGCCGCCGGGCAGGGGCGGCGCGGCGCCCTCGGCAGGCCTGCCTGCTCCTGCGTCGGTCCGGGCCGAGGCCCTTATCCTGCGGTCAGACCTGTCTTAGTCTTTTCTGTCTCCCCAGGTGATGTTTTTTTGTGGTTTTCACTTTTTATGGATCTGCTGTCAAGAAGGGAAGGAAAGGAAAAAAGAAAAGCTGGCAAAAACAAAGAGTGGAAAGCCCAGAAGTTGGTGTAAAATAGTTATCTTTGGGGCAAGGTGGTTTGAATTTCTGAAATGTGTCTCCACCAAGCCCCACCGCCCTGAAGGAGGAAGTGGGACGGAGCGCTAGACCCCTTCTCCGTGGCCGGCCTGCAGGCGCGAGTCCACGCAAGGGTTTATGATCGACTGTGACTCTTTGAAGCGCCCGCTGTGGGACACAAGCCACCATGCGGACTCCTGGTCCCGTGTTGAAATCACAGGCGCCCTGCGATGTCTGTGAACCTTCAGCCGGTCGTGCAGGGCTCCTGGCTCCCCTTCCCCACTGACTTCATTCCTGATTTGAAAATGTCTCGATTCCTCATGGGAACTTAACCACTTTCTGTAGAAATGATTGGCTGAAACTAAATATGCCATGTATTTTCTTGCACCCCCCAGTTAATGACCACATTTGTTTGAAAACAGGATCTCTGGCCTAGAAAATAACCTTCCTCGTAAAGGAAGTACATGTGTTCTGGAATGATTTCTACACTATCCATGGCTGTGTAATTCCATGAGGCATCAAGCTGTCACAGGTCAAAGAAAAACCTAGATAAAAATGTCCTTTTCTGAGCGGGGGGGATTTTGAAATCCAGGTAATAGTTGGAGCCCATCTTCATATGAAGAGCATCTTCTTGACTTTGAAACCAGGTCAGCTTACGCCTGTTTCAGCCCCTTTGACTCTGGGACAGTGTTCATTTCAAACTTTAGTTCCATAAACTACTAAGCACTTCTGTGTTTGTTTGTTCCCGTGGTAATGAATGGTTTTTTTCTTTAGATGTCTACCTTAGGCCAAATCCATTTTAGGAAAAAAAATATTTAAACTATTCTGTATTGTCATAGTACGTTTGCGTTGAGTTGGCACCCCCGCCAACCCCCCGCGGCGACACTGACTCGCTCAGATCAGCCTGCACAGCCTTGGTGAATGCGTGCGGGCGAGTTTCCACTTCAGCCTGTGCTTAGACATTGCCCGTTTCCAGAGCTGCGTGTGTGGCTCCCGAGAGGCAGGGCTGCAGAAGGACCCCTTCTTTCAACAATGGAAGGTCAAGAACGTACAAGCTCTTCACACACCTGTGTCTTACTCTTTATCTATGTCACATGCTTTAGGAGCCGCATCTCAATAAAGGAACCCTCATTTTAAGCCAAGTTATCAACTTTCTCTGCTTTGGGCAGCGTCTTCTAGTCCTAAACATGACCAGATGGGGCATGAGGTAACAGGATATTGTGGCAGAAGAAGCTTTAAGCTTAGAAAAGTAATTATAGATAAATCCCAACTCCCCATGGTACTGAGCCTTAGGCTATGGGCAACTGAGTCATTGGTGTAAAGATAGGTTTTCTCCCCAAGTGACTTGTGATGGATAAGCCTCCCTAGTTAGGCAGCTGTGCAGATGGATGTTCTCTTGAGAATGAGAGAAAGAAAAAAAAAAAAGACTCACGTCAAGCCATAAACTTCATTTTTCTTGACTGACCCCGTCAAAGGGCCACCTCGGTCACTAAGCAGATGCTGCGGGTCCTGCAACTATGAAGTGGACAACAGAGTTTCCCGGCTCATAAGGAGCCCAGAAATTAGTGTGAGGAGGTCCTTGCAGAAGCGAGCTCACAGTGCACGCACATCCGGCTGTCACCAGAAGCCTGTGGGCGGGTGAGGGTGACCACGCTACCCTTCTGGAGAAGGGAGTGTGATCGGCGTGAAACGGGGGCTACTTACTGCTCAGACACTCGTTCCTCTTCTGCCCAAGCAGCTCTCCCACGCTTGGCTTTGGAAAATCATTTGCCTCCCAGCCCTTCCCTCCCCTCCCCTGCCCCGCCCGCCCTAGCCCCCTGCTGTTTTGGTAAGTTGGTAAATTTCCATTGGCTGGGAACTCACCCCAAAGAGGCTTTTGGGATCCTCAGGGGAGACTGGGTCTCAGCAGGGAGCCTCAGTGAAACCTGAATGCTGTTAGTTTCATTATCTAGCCCAACGTCTCTCCCACACAGATGAGAATAAAATGAATTACAACTTCCCGAATAAAATGAAACACAAAGTTGATTTGTTTGTTAGATTCCTCTGCCGTGAGAAACCTCTTGGGTTGCTCTTGTGAGCTTTGCTGATGTTGCAATAATCGGGGCCTTTTGCACAGAGATGTTTTCTTTTAAAATGCAGAGTTCTCTTCTTTATTTAGCAGTGTTTCTGGGCCGAGACATGCCTCCCCTCATCCCACCCCACATACTCAGGATATTAATTAATTGCATCGTTATTTAAAAAATTATGTTGTTAATTACTGCTTCACCTCTTCCTACCCTTGTCACAGCCTGGAGTTTTTATTCAATTAAATCTCTTGTCTCTTGCCCATTTCTCTTGTCACTTGAGGTTTATCAGTCGGCACACACACAGGACACTGCAAAGCTTTTCTTTTTCATCTTTGCTCCACACAGGTAACCGCGTCCCTTCAATCAGCAGGAGCTGATTTGGGCTTCTTTCTTATTCGGCCCAAGGAACACCTGCACCCCGCCCCCCGACCCCCGCACAGCCGGAGCCGCCTGTGCGTGCCAGGCTGTGGCTCACCGAGCACAAGGCGCCCGGGGCTGGCTGTTTCCTCAGCTGCTCAGCTCAGTCAGCAGCCCTTCCAGACACCAGAGCCTCTCTGGGGAAGGGGGTCCTGTCCTCACATCTAGGAAGTGCAACGCTTTGCCCACCAGGAGAGAAATCCTGATCATTCTCATAATACACAACGTGGCCGAGCAACAAGATCCAATCGCAGACTGGAAAATTACAAAGAGCGTTCTAACTTCGTAGGCTATTGTCTCTGCTCTCCCCGGCTCTTAGTTAATTAAGAAGGCAGCCCACTGAGAGGAGGGGGACAGACAGACCACTCCCTCGTGCCCCTCTGCGTCTAAGTGACTGGCTGTCCACACTGAGATGCCACCAAGGGAGCCAGACTGCAGAGCGAAGCGCTCTCTGCCACCCAGGGACGCCACTTCTCCTCGCTTCGGCTTCCCATCAGGTCACCCATTGGCCAGCGTGATCCGGTCATGCGCTGGCGCCATGTAGAGCGGATCCACCAGCGGAGTCAAGTGCCCGTCCGGCTGGGCTGGGTCACGCAGCAGTAGCGGCCTTTAGATTTCAGTGGCCAGTGGCTGAAAACAACAAAGGCTTATTTGTCATTCACACAAGGTCTCCACCGCAGGTCAGCAAGGGAGGCTCGCTCATGGGTTTATTCAGGGGGATTCGGGATGACACAGCGGCCAACATGTCAGACGCTGCTAGTTGCCACGCCTAAAAGAAAAAAGCTCAGAAAGGTCTCACAGTAGCCTCAGTGCTCTGGGCTGGAAGGAACACATGTCACTTTCCTTTGACCGTTCCTTATCCAGAGCTGTTTACTCATGTGGCCTCTCATGAAAGGGTTCAAGTGCCCAGGGGAGGAAGGACTGGAAATATTAAGTTAGCAGCACATGGAAGACCATGGTGAACTTAGCAGACCCCCAGGAGGGTGGCAGCTACTGAGTGGCTGATTGAGAGAAAGTAATAAAGGGTAACTGTAGTTTATTTACTTTTTTGATGAAATCAAGCACTGTCTATTGGGCTACACAACTCTGCAAGCCTCAGGCTTGACTCTTGGCGACATGAGGACATGAGTATCAGTGGCACAAGAGAGGGAGTGGCGGCGAGCACCGTGAGGGAGGGGAAACAAAAGCCTCCCAAGGTTCGGAGGAGCCTCTCAGCCGGGCAGAGGGGTGACAACTCTGAGAAAGAGGGGGCCCCTGAGCCAGACCTTTGTGAGGGGGGCTCACTCTCCAGGCTGAGGGGTCCGTGGCAGGGCAGGGCCGAGGGCGGAGGAATGCCCAGGACTGCCAGGCACCCTGAATCCGGGGGAACCAGGAGCCCCACGAGTGCCACTGCACCTTGCTTGCGCAGGCCAGCCCAGACAGCATGCTGGCCTTCTGCCCCCAGAGGCCCTCCCATCGCCTACCCTGAACCCCACCCCGCCAGGCCGTGCATGGGGCCCCGCCCCAGCCGCCTCCATGGGAAAGGGACCTGCTGCCCCTCCTCCCTCCCGGGCTAGCTTGACTTACAAACGGGCTGGTCACCTGCGGAGGCAACACCTGCCTGACTCTGAAAGCAGTAGAGCGCCACACCCTCCCCACTTTCCCAGCCTCACCTGCTTGGCCTGTTGCTCAGCCACAAGCCTCTTGGGACTTCATGATTTGTGCTGCGCCCTGCTCCTCTTTGAGGTGGGCCCTGTCCAGATGTGCCCCTAGGACAGGAAACAGGACTGGCCTGTCCCTGGCTGGTTCACAGCTGCACTCCCAGCACGGCTGTGGCAAGCCCACAAGGGGAGACTGGAGGCTCGAGAGGGGACGGAGGGCTGAGCGAGGCACGGGCGGTGCCCCGGGAAACGCGCGCCTGTACAGGACGTGGTGAGCACGACAGGCTGACAGCTGAACACATCTGGAAGACGGGGGGAGGCAACAGGGATTCAAAAGCCTTGTATGTTTTGTACACCTGAAGCACCAGAAAAATGATAGTGCCTTCCACAGAAACCAGCTCAGCAGAACAAGGGAAAAAATGATAAGTCCAATTTGGGTCAAACTGAGCCCAAATGCTGGAGGGATGTCTAGCAGACAGTCGCAGTTCATGAGCAGCCTGGCAGAGAGGTCGGGCGTGAGTGTTCCTTTATGGAAAGCCTACATGCCAAAATGAGATGTGAAGGCAGGGGACAGGCTCTGCCACGCGGGCAC